TTTTATCAAATGTTATATTAAAAGCTTGTAGTTATTATATATATATATATATATATATATATATATATATATTAGTATCTCAATGATACTAAAATACCACTGGTAGGAGTTTGGAACTACCATCTTTCAGAATTGATGATCATCATTTCGGGTCTTGTCAGTGGAAAGGCGCTTCATGAATGCTGCTATGGAAATCTCTGTAAGAGCGCCTTTTAATCTGAATTAAAAGATTGATTGTCAGCCTGTGCCTATCCAGGTGGAACAAATTTGATAGTGCTTTAATATGTCCCTGTTGTCCATGGAATGGTGTGTGTGTGTGTGTGTGTGTGCCCTTTATCAGAGTTCATTGATAGCAAGAGTATTATCAAATGATGTATGATGGAGATAAGTGTGCATGTGTGTGTAAAGCCTTGCAAAGATAAAAGGAACCTCTTCAGTGCAACCTCTGCAGTGATGGGTTCACTATCACTGAATCTGAATTAAAAAAAAAAAAAACCCTATCGACTTTGAAATGTGTGCATTTTATGGCTTTGAAACTGATGCAGGTCATAATGCGCAAGCAAATGGCATGCTAATCAAGTAAGCAGAGGAAAAGAGGTTTTATCTGTGGCTCAGACACTGCTGGATGGATGTAGCTTTATCTGGGTCACCTAAAGCCAATGTTAAATCCACTTGGGCTTACCCTCAGCCTGAGAGTGCGTTTGAATAAGTGAAGAAAGCAGTGTGCTCACAGATGTTAAAAACCCACACCAAGTCACTCAGAATGGTAGTGTGCACTGTATTTTAAAATGTATCTGTGATAGGAATGGTAGAATTTCCAATAAAATATGGTTTATATTAAATAAATATTACATTTAATTATTCATTAAATATATATGTTTTTAATGTGGAAATTATTCATAAGCAATTATTGATAGCATAAGAAAGTAACGATAGTATAGCAAATTAATAGTCTATTAAATGCTTAACATTTGAGTATAAAAAAGACTTAAAGATAAAAGTAGCATTAAAAATAGTTTATACACTATAGTTCTGAAAATGTCTGACTCTAGATGCTGATTTCATTAGATACATGACTATTAAAACATTTGGAAACACTGAGAAACACTGATTTTATTTATGAAAGAAACTGACATTATTATTCACTTAGGATGCATTAACATGCTTGAAAAAGAATGTAAATACACTGTTAGACATTTCAAAGGGTTTGTACAGTAACTTACTGAAAGTTACTGTAATTAAGATTTACAGTAGCAAACCGTATTTGGTTTACAGTTGCAAACTGTACCTTTGTACAGTAAATAACTGTAAAAAATCCAATTCATCAGTATACTACTGTAATTAATTCATTTTAATATATTTCATTAGATTTTATAATTTTATATAGAATTCATTTTATTTTGACCCTACATAGGTACTACTGGCATTCAATTAAAACAGACACAATAATTACAAAATGTCTAATTCTTTATTTAAAACATTGCATGTATAACACTTATAAATACAGTCTTCCAGTACTGGAACAGTGCATCTTCATTCAAATGGCTGCAATATAACAAAGAGTGAAAAATTTAAGGGGGTCTGAATACTTTCCGTACCCACTGTATATCCATATATATAATGGGGAAAAAAGATAAGCAGCCAAAGAATACTTAGCCATCTGCAAAACCCAGGTGCTGCTCCAAAACGTGGCCACCACCTTTGTTCACCATCCACTTTGTTAGTGACAGAAATGTCTTCTCTGAAAAACAAGTAGAAATGGCACACTTTTAAAAGGCAAACCCCATATAGAATACACAAACCTCTCAAAACCATAGTTGTTCTCTTACCATGAATTATCAGTCTCAGGGTGGCTGGCCTGCTCATGTCTTTCTTGATGCTTCATTGCAGTTGCCTTTAAAACACAAATACAAAAAATTCAGTAAATCTTACATTTAATTAAAAACTATAACAAACTAATTCTAAAACTAGAAAGTCAGCTAGCCAAAAACTTGTTTAACCTAGCTAACATACGATTTTATTTTCTCAATAGGCTACTGGCCAACATTAACTACTAACACCTGAACAAAATTTCACATTAGTTAACTTAATGTTAATACAAGATAAGCGTTGCTCGTTAAAAGTAATTTTAATTCGGTAATTCAATAAGCTGACAAAAGTCGTTTGAAACGACAGCGCAGTTTACCATAGTAAAGTTTGTTACCGCTATGTTGACGGGTAAATGTTACTAGGTTAAACTGGTGTGCAAAAATGTTGACGCAAACACACAACGTACATATATGTTTTACCTTGCTTACTGGTCTTATTCTCTCGTAAGGTGCATCGACACACAGCGCAGATGTTCTCCGGAACTCTTCCACTCTCGCGGGTTAATCTCCGGGCAAAACCCGTGGCGCTAACGTGCTGGTTCCGTGTCTTCCTCGGACGCGAATGGCGCAACTCGACTCGACAAAAGACAATATAGAACCCATTATACTATCTACAGTGGATGCGGACAGTAAAGTGATGCCCCGGTATATTTCTGACGTACATATGTGCTCCAAGCGCTCGTGCTGTTTCTGACACGAAGGACAAACGGATTTTCCAATCATTACAAGCGATGTAACATCCAGTGTAGTCAGTCCCAAACTGTTGTGGCGTTGTAGACACGTTGCAAGTCAAATCTTGTCAATCCAAATGTGAGAAATGAGGAAAATAAGCAACCTCAATAGAATGGCGCCAAAGAGGCCGTTAAGGCAAATACAGTAGTATACAGCAATTTTAAAAATTACAGTCACTGTATGTGGGGTTTGACGTCACAGAAAATTCCCATGATGCAAAGGGTATTACAGTTATTTACTGTAAAGCAAATTTGCAGTATTATACTGGATGATATACAGTAAATAACTGTAGAAATTACAGAAATGTCTAACTGTACGTGTAACTTTACAAATAGCTATTTTTATTTAATTAAATGTGTTGTTAAGAATCCTTCATATGCAGCATTAACAGCTTATGCATTAGCAGTCAGTTTATAAATATACGCAGCTGAAGTTTCATTCATGCTTTCTGTGTATCTTCCTGTTGATGTTATTAGCTTGTTCCATAACAGCTCAACACCTCAATCTCCTTCCATTCATCCATCCATCATCATACTCTTTTTCTAATCTCATTTATCAGTAAATCTTTGTCCATTCAAACTCTTTTTTTTTTTCTTATTTGCCAGTGTCATACTGTATATACTTTTTTGTAAAGATAAAAATACAAAACATTTATTTCATACACTAATAATAATTTACAATATTACGTCTTTGCATTTAAATAATCAAAATACTACACCAGTGAATATATATTTCACTCAAAACCATAAAAAAATGGCTTTCTTAAGAATAAAGCCACCTATGGTTCCATGAAGAAGGTTTAACATCCTTGGAACCTTTCCAATTCCACAAAGTTTCTTCAGATTATTAAAATGGTCTTTACACTAGGAAAGAAGGGTCAATTTGAGAACTGTTCACTGTAAGGTTCTTTGGGAAACCCAAATGTTTCTTCTATTGCATCACTGTGAAAACCCCTTTTCGGAATCTTTATTTTTAAGACTATATATTAGTGCGTGGTAACTATAAAAATGCATTTTACTTCTTTTCTTGTGCTCTCAAATCCCTCCTAGGTATGAACAGCTGGTAAGACATCTTTACTGTCATCATAGCCATCCATAGTTTGGAATGTGATATTTGTCTCCTTGTGATTAACTGCAGCTGAAGTGTTCCCTGTAGTCTCTCATCACCTCTTGTTCATACACAGGATGACCTTTAGCATGCAGGGGGTTGAGGGTCAAGTGTGAGAATGATTTGAACAAACAGTGCCAAAACAGCAAGTCTGTACCCTAGAGGACTACCTCTGTTCCTTCACTCACACAGAGAACATCTCTGTTTCTTTGACAGTCAGACAACAGTAGGTCACGCAGAGGAGTCCTCATGGATGCTGTGTGTGTGTGCGTTAGATGTCAGAAAGCGGAACCAGTAGTCGCACAAGCCCTATTGCTGTTATAATAGAGGATGTTCACATGGTGACCTCTAATGATGTGTTAACAGATGTCTGTGAGAATCTGCCATCAACAATCTGTGTTTCAGATGTGTTAGCTTAGCACGCATGCTCTAGACACTTTCAGATCAAATCTGGCCTTTGTGTAAGAGACAGTGTTATTTTAATATTATTTATATACAAACCAGCTTTTATTTTTACATTTATCTACCAGGTTTAATTTAGATTTGTTTTTAATTCAGTAATTTTGTTCATTGGTAGTTATTTTTTATTTAGTAATTCTACATTTTAGGTTTATTTATATTCATTTATTTTTATTTCAGTTTTAGTAAATTTACTTCAACTTTATTTATGTATCTCATTTTATGCTTATTCTAAATGATGAGAACATAAGCCATGTTCTGCCATCTTTTTCCTAAAGATGAATGCATAACTGAAATGACTAATTTTGGCTTTAAGTCTCTCCAGTGTGACGAATGCTAAAGTTTACCTTTGAGCAAAGTTGTGGGGTCTTAGCTTTCGTTAAATCAACGAGTCAGCCTTTTACCGCAGCAGCCTTTTTCATTAAAAAAATTAACCTTTGATATTAAAGTCTAAGTGAGCATTTGAGGGGAAACGAAACATTAAAACTTACTCAAACCCTTCAGCACTCTGTCTTCATTGATTTTTAGATTGAGTATTAGCTCTGACAGAGCCCTTGTGACTTGACTGACCTGATTTGGCCTAATCTTAGTGTCAGCTCCATGCTAAAGTCAATAAGTGAATTGAGGGCCAACTTTTAGGAGATGGTCCTCACTGCAGAACACAAGATCCAGGGGGCGAAGTTGGATCCAGATCCAACTCCTCCCACCTTACATATACCTAAATCTACCCGTCTCCACCCCCTGATCCCTAAACCCACCCATCTCCACCCCCTAGATGTGGATCCAACCCCACCCCCTGGATCTTTGTTCTGAAGTGAGGGGCTACTGACTTTTAGAACCATAGCTGCTGAATGTACATAAATATGTTCATTTCTATTTTATGCTGGACAGAATTTTTTTTGCATAATCAAGTCTCAATCAAATTTCAGATATGCTTGCCCCAGAATGACACACCAGTGTTCTGAGTCTAAGATTCTGCTATTTTGAACATCACATAAATATCACATAGTAATTATTCAGTCTGGGTTTGCTAAAGTGGATTTCAACCAGCAGTGTGTTCAGTGGGAGATTTAAAGGGATAGTTCACCCAAAAATTTAAATTGTCATTAATTACTAACTAATTTACTGTACATTTCTGCCATATAGACATCAACTTGACATAGTCACCACTATATATAATATACTAAACATAATGTAGAAACTTTAATTTTCTGCAAAGCTGCTTTGCAACGTTTTGTATTGTGAAAAGCACTATACAAATTAACGTGAATTAGTTTTGTTTTCTTTTTGTGCACAAAAAGTATTCTCGCATACTCTCTCTCTCATATATATATATATATATATATATACAGTATATATATGCTAGGGACTTAAGGTAGACATGAGGTAATTAAGGTAAAGAAGAAAAAAATCTAGCGTTTCTGTTCCTTTACTCCTGCTTTGGCAAGTACAAATGAACCAAGAACTCATGTTGTTACATTCGACCAGTGTTCATTTTTCACAGCCTTCAACTCGTCTTCATTCTTGCTTTATTATAATAAATGCATTTGATGTGATGATTTTTTTTATGTGGCAATAAAGCAAGTGTGCTATGTGCTAGTTTTGTAAATAAGGAACAAATATGCCTAATTTATAGAATAGGTTGTCACTGTGCTTTTTCAGCACATCCAGCACTTACTGTATATTAGCATCATAAACATAGCAAAAAGAGCCACAGAAAATAATGGATTTTTTTTTTTCTTTTGCTACTGGAACATTTGGTTACTTTGGTTAAAGTACCAAAAAAAGTTAACAACCACATAGAGGGCAGAAGGCCAAACGATACCTCTGACTGGCTGTGGGAGGAGCAGTCCATCCACAACACTCTAATTTCTCATTGCATATTGGTTTCCATGATTAGCCATCAGGGACCAGGACCGGGACCATGACCCCACCCCCCCAAAAAAAAACAAGGGCAAAAAAAGAGGTGCTTCATTACCAGTCCATTAGGAACGGAGAAACAGATGGAGAAGAGGCAACAGCAAGCATGAGGGAATCAGGAACAGGAGTGAACTGGAGCATGGTGAGAGGAGAAGAGCTTGAAACCAAATCCCATAACACTGCTGGAACAATGCAATGTGAAGAGAGCCAGGGGGAATTCTGCATGATGTCAATTTCCACAGAGCATGTGCACTTTCCCAGATTGCAAGGCTACAGGATGTAGATGGAAGCCCCTCTCCTTCCAAATCATGTGTGAATACTTTTCTCCGGTTCATTGAAAACAGCATGCTTTTATCGATCTGAAACACCTGGAAATGGAAACGAGTGGTTCCCAGTCAGGCCTGCTTCATGAGTCTTGAGTCACATCTATGAAACATGGTGTGGCGCCTTCACACAACAAATCTGGAAGGAGTTCCTTTCTAGTAGAGCTTGAGGTGAGCTGAGCAGGATGCTTAGAGGGTTAGCATAGCACAACCGGTGCCAGCAAACACTGAGGAAATGGAAAAGCCATTTCCTGCTGGCCTTATGGCTTAGTGGAGCTCAGTCAAAACACTCAGTGATAAGCAAAAATACTGATAAAGATGACTCAGCAATGTTATTGAAATTCACTGTTCTTGACCTTTGAGCACACAACACTTTCTATGAAGCCCGTATTTATAATACATTATGAGGGTATTCTTAAGGCATAATGAATGCATAATGCATTATAAAAAAAACATATATGTTATATCAACTCATGAATAATCATAACAACAGTTATAATACATCATAATACTTACGTATTTGTGGTTATACGTTTAAGAGTATGATTACTTATAACACACAATGAACACCATATTAAATATACTTCATTTACAGAATAATGGACTGTATCATATCTTGACATTGTTTATTTAAGATCTGCACAGTATCTTACTACAGCTTGTGAGTGGTTAGATGTTGAGTGTTATTTGAGTGTTTCCTGTGGAGCTAATGTTAATTAATTGATGTGAGCTTTATACTCCAACTGAAAAAAATGCAATGTTTTATATGGTTACATTTTATTTTGATGGTCCCCTTAATCAATCGACTATAAGCAACTTTGCAACTACATGCCAACTAACTCTCATTAGAGTATTAGTATGCTCAAGAATGGTAGAATCTAGTATGGTAGAATAAGTTGACGTACTTGCAAAGACACTTATAGTCAGTTTATCTGTTGGTTGACCAACATAC